ACACATACACACACACACACACACCCCCTCTGTGAGGCAAGGTGAGACAAGGGGTGGATTAGCGAGAGTGTGTATGTGTGTTGTGTAAGAAGGCCAGAGGTTGGCGGCTCTCTGGCCAGACAAACTGAGTGTGTGTGGTTGTTTCTGTTTGTGCCAGAGTTAAAGCTTTACTTACTGCATTACATAAACCTTCAGCTTACAACCTGCAGCCGCTTTAAACATCTCAGGCCACGACCCGACCGACTGATTTACTGGCTTTTCGTTCAGCTCGCTCACTGTCAGACTTGTATGTGTGAAAACCTGCTGGCGTTTTGCAGCAGTGTTTGGACTTAAACTACAGAAATTTGTCTCACTTTCAGATCATTTCGTACAGTTGGTGCCATTTCTCCTAAATAACTGTGTTTTGCTGCATAGTGCCTCAGTTTCTCAAGACTAGTTTGCTCTCAGATGCTGCACACAAATCAAAATTACATTTTTTTTGAAGGTATCGATTTTACACATCAAACTTGCTTGTCATGTGGAATAGTCCGCCTGTGAAAACAGTTTTTTTCTGTGGCTCTGGAGCAGCTTTGTCAAGTCTGAGAAAATAACTCTGATAAAGTCATCTAGGTTGAACTTGAGGAAACTTGAGGATGTTGAGTTTTTAAGATATGGATATTTACCAGGCAGGGAAAGTCTATTAAAGACACTATTAGGTTGAATTATGGGAAATATAGTATACAGTAGTTTGTTTAATCTTGACAGATATTAGGGACTAAAAATCCAGATACTTTGGTGCTGCAGCAATTTTGATCATTCAGTCTCTCGCATTTTTAGGGAAGTGCCACATTAAATCACTGGAGTGCCCCTTTAAATTAAGTCCATTTCTTAAATTACATACCTAATTTTACTTGAAAGCTACTTTTTTGGGTGAAGTGATCCTTTAAAGTCATTATAAGATCAGATCATGAATGCACAGTATGATTCTGTTTTATAACCTTATCAGGATGACATCTGCCGGCAAGTTGTGGTTCACTTCAACTTCAAATACTCTTTTTTGAGTATTGTTTTGAAGCGTTTGGTGCATCTACACGTACCAAGATCAGAGGTTAAGATTGGATAGGGATTGGCATTTTGTCAGCATGACTCAGATTAGTTTGGTGGTGTGGAGCTAAAGGCCTTCAGCCGACACATTCTCAACACTTCCCTCATCAAACATTTACAGCTTCAGAACAACAGGCTCTGTTTCTGACATTTAGGTTCTCGGCTGTGTGTAGCAGATTTCTCCTGCACATTGTGCGTGGCACATCGTCTGAGTCTGTATCTCGTGTCTTCGCTCACCACAGCGGGGCTCTCGCTGTGTGTGTGTGTGTTACTGTCTGACGTGGCGGTGACCTGCTGTGTGTGAGCGTAGGAAGAAGAGTGGGAGGAGGCAGAGAGGGGGTGGCTGGTCAGGACAGCTTGGCAGCCGGCTGCAGAAACACCAGGCGGGGAGGGGAGTCATCGCCCTCGGCCTCCAGGACTGGACAGAGCCTCCAGGTCTGAGATAAACAGCCCAGTCGGGCTGGAGGAGACAAGAAAGGAGAGAGGGCGGCTGAAGGAGGGCAGACTGTAGCTGGGTGTAAGCAGGCAGGACTGATGGTGATGTAAAAGGATGCTGAGAAAGTTGCTGATTATTGAAGGAGGGGAGTTCCTGACAAGGGGGGAACAGACAAGAGAAAGATTAAACCCCACGGTGGAAACCGAGACAGAGTGCGGGGCAGAGTGAGGACAGTGGGGGGGGGGGGGAGCAGATTGTGGAGGAGAGTTGGGATGTTCGCCTCCCCCCGTCTGTCACACACAGGCAGCCCTGCTACTGCCAACATGACCAGCAGGGCAGGGGCATCTGTCTCTCCCCCCCTCCAGCTACCACTCTCTTTCTCTCGCTGCCCCGAGCCACAACTCTCTTCATCCTCCTCCTCCTCATCATCCCTTCCTGTTCTTTATCACATGCATCATTCCTGCCTTACTGTCGCCTTCTGAACTTGTTGAAACCGCAAAGTGAAAGATGATTTACTCTCAAGAATATTTTATGTCAACACATAGTGCAGTGGTTTTCAAAGCGTTTTGGTTTGTGAAATTTTGAACTTGCAGTTCCTCATCACAAGCAGCATAAGAGCTCTGCACAGCTTAACCAGAGACTGATGTGTCCTTCTCAGACTGTTTCATTTTAATTGCCTCTTAAGGTCTAAGGAGGTAAAACTCTGCTGTATTTGAAAAAGATTTTAGAAAAGACTTGTTCCTAACTTTAGTAATCCTCTCACTGCTCCTCAGACTTCTGTTGTGGCCCAATGAGGGTCCCAATCCCCAGTTTGGGAACCACTGGTGTCAGTCACTGTGCTGTAATGTGATAGCACTCCATTAAAAGTAAAAGTCCTGCATTTAATATTTAACTTATTATCAGTAAAATGCACTTACATGTAAAGTATCATTAGTAAAAGTACCTCCTGTGACTGATTTACTGTATAATCCTATAATATAAATATGGATGGCTGGTTGAGTATGCAAATGTCCTTTGTCTCATTATCATGTGTGGGTATGTGCCTGTGTGAATGAGTTCACCACTGCACTAGAGGAGGGGATGACTGACTGAATAGATGAAATAATGGGCTGCTGGTGGGAAATCTTTTACCAGGCATTCCACCTCCACCCCCTCCAAACACAGTCAACACACACACTATTCATACTGCCTCACCCCCAAACCCCAGCTGGAAAACACCACCTCCCTACACACATGCGCGAATACTCCCGGTGTGCACTGAAAGAGTTCACTGTCTGCAGGAGTGGCCGTGTCAGAGGGGACACACTAATTGGGACGTCCCAGTAATGATCAACACTTTGCTTCATAGCCGCACACACACACACTTTCTCACTAGGCTGTGACAGTGTGACAATATGGTGATGAAATGTAAAATTGAGCAATGTGATCAATTGACCCAATGTTCAGACACATAATGTAGAATGTAGTGATATTAAAACAGCCAACATGTTTTCTGCTTAGAAATGATGAATGATATCTTCCTCGAGCCTCGTACTTTTGCTATTTTGTGCTTCTACTCGACTACATTTCAGAGGAAAATATTGTACTTTTTACCCTAGTTACTTTTAAAATTAGGATTTTACAATAAACAATTAAAACAATTAATTTGATAACCACTAGCCTAAACTACCTTACCATATAAATCATTTAAACTTTACTACAACTACAACAGTTAAAGGTGGGGTATGTGATTTTGGAGAAAACCAATCCCGGGAAAAATACCATGATAAAGAGCGAACAACAACACAGCAAGTAATGTAACTAACGTTAGCAAAGTTGTGGGTTAGCAAACTGTTGCTACAGTTGCTGCTGCCAAGCTAGCACGAGACAGTCTCAGTGCCAGCACACCAGCTCCAGACAGCGACACTCACAACTCTCTCGCTACTAAAGCTAACATCACAACAACAGCATTTCTGGGCAAACTAGAAAGTAAGCTGAATGTCTGTGGGCAAGTTATTTAATGTTACCTGACACAAATCATGGCTGGAACAGCTGGACTGGTGTTGTGTGGCTCGGTCCGCTCCACTTTGTTTCCCATTTACAGAGCCAGGGCTGTGTACAAACACAGTACACACACATAACGGACAGCTAGCATTGATGTATTAATATTAACAATCTGATAAATAATCGTAGATAACATTATTAGTCACAGGGGCCAAGTACTTGTACTTTTGGTACTTTAAATACATTTTGCTGATAATACTTTTACTTAAGTAAACTTTTTAATACTTTTACTTGTAATTAAGTATTTTTACATTGTTGCTGTAATTAAAGCTAGAGTACAGGACTTTAACATATAAATGATTAAGCCAGGTACATCTTTTCATACTCAGTTTTTAAATCTGGTGTCTCAGCAAAATAACATTTATGTATATATATTATTTTGTTATTATAATATTGTTAACTAGAAATGCAATCCTCCTAACTGGATGGATTTGAAAGAGAAGAAATCTATAGTTATGGTTTCAAAGCTCAGAAAATCATACAAGGATTTCCATACTGACATACTGACAACTATAACGTGGCACCTGGAAAGAAAAGACACCATCAGATCGTGTCACAAGCATAAAACAGGTGTTCTGTTGTTTCTACATTTACGTCGTAATGTTACCGGGTCATTTCACTAAGTTTGGAACCTTCCTAAGCTATTCGACCACAGCCTATTTGTCATAGCTGACAGTGTTGTGTAATTACTCTCATTGTCAGAAGGGGGAGACAGAAGTTCTGCACTGCAGGTTTAAGTAATGGATCTGTTGACACTGTTGTCCTGCGATGCAATGAAATGGAGGAGGTACTAAAGTCTGACAAAACATAAAGTGGTGCCATAGTTCAAGTTACAAACAAAATATTCTACATCCTATAGAAAAAAAGTCACCTTACTCACTATTTTAGTTTAGTATTGAGTTTTAAATGTTTTGGTAAGTTTTGATCAGTTTGAAGTCCCTCAGAGCAAACACTGCATAATTTCCTGTTAGTGTTTACTGTATTATAGTATTAGTATGAAACTGCTCAGCTGTTCGGTCGTTGTGAGCTGTTCAGTATTTTGCCAAAATCCTGTACCATCTCAGGCTGGTGACACATTTCTGCACAAATGCTTTTCAGTAGAGATATAGACAAAACAATGAATCCATGTATTGAGAAAGCCATCCGCAGATTCATCACTAATGAAAATAAATGTTAGTTGGAGCCCTAATGTGATCCATTCATCAGGATCAGTATTGTCTGATATTGATTCAGTGTATCAGATTTCTGCATCACCTCCTAGTCTGCACTCTAATTATAGTCAAGTAAACAGTGTTGATTACTTGATCAACACAAAGTCCAGTGATATTAAAAGCTCTTTGTGGATCCTGCTCTCTTCCAATATTTACAACATTTGGTTTTATATCAACCAGGAAGGATACGTTGCTCTAACACTCGTGTGTGTGTGTGTGTTTTGCAGACTGCAGCAGTTGGACCGTCACTGTCAAAGCAGCGCCCAGCAGGTGTGTGAGCTGCTGGCCAAACAGAACCAGCTGATGCAGGAGAGAAACACACTCACTGAGGAGATGCACAACCTACACATGGAGGTACACACACACACACACACACACACACACACACACACACACACACACACACACACACACACACACACACACACACACACACACACACACACACACACACACACACACACACACACACCTCACCTCTCCTATCGTACACACGGTGTGACTCATTTTTCTGTTACTAAATGAATTAGTGATGGTGTCTTTTCTTTCCAGGTGCCACGTTATAGTTGTCAGTTTGCTAAAATAAATTAAGTAAAAAGACGTTTGTCTCTTCATGACTAATGATTCTGTCTGGTTCTGGATTTGCTGAAAAACACGCCGTCTATATTCTGCTGCAGTTTATTCAGAAATATTATCAGAAAGGCTTTACTGGATTGTGTGTGTGTGTGTGTGTGTGTGTGTGTGTGTGTGTGTGTGTGTGTGTGTGTGTGTCCTTCTAGACCCCAAACACGAGACGAGTCAATACTTTGTCCACATGAGTCTGTCCTGCCTGTTTGGATGCACTAATGAGCTTTTGGAGCGCCCTAAATGATCATTTTAATCCCATTTTTCTACATTTTCTTTTATTAAGAAGAAATATAGTGTTGTACATTTTTGATGGGAAAAAATAAAGCCTGAACTCTGAATAATATCTCTAGTTTCATGTTTCATTTTTAATTTTTATTTTAACTGGGCTTAGAGTTCAGAAGATAAATAATAATAAATTTTAGCCACAAAGCAAACAAGTCGACACCATCGCAGCAGATTGACATAGTGCTTTATTGAAGCTGTCTGTAAGAAGGAAAATAATGTGCATCCCTATCATATACATTTCATCATGTGTAAAAATACTAAGGATGTACAGTGTAAAAAACAGCTTCATGTTGATGGTAATTTGTTGTTTTCACATCCTCGCGGCCTCACTGGCCAGCAGCACTGCATCCTAACAGCATGGGGGACAGAAAAGGGCTGTTTGATCGATCTGCCGAGTTTCCCGACACTGTCTCAGAGTCGACATTGTCTCTGCTCTACTGACGTGTCGTAGAGCAGAGCTGACTTCAGTATTACAGTGCTTCAGGGAAACACGGCCCACGCTGCAGCTGGACAGCTGGCAGCTGTCCAGAAAAATGTCTCACACAACTGTAAAGCTACAGTAGGTGGACACGGATGTGAAATTAAGACTCAATTACACTTTGTAGTATTTGTACATGTTTGCCGTTTTTCGTTTGCTGTTTATAAATTAATGCATCTCATGCTTGTTCATGTTAATAATCATGATGATAGTAGACTAGTACCAAAGAGAGAAGAGGGGGGGGGGGATTCTGTCACAGACATGAGGTCAAATACTTTCAGAAATCCTTCCAAACACTGGAGCCATTTACTTGTTATCGGCATTAAACGCCAGGCTGGGTGCGGCTTGTGATTTTTGGCTGACGCTGTTCGCTCATTAACAACAGGCGAGATCAATACAGAGCAGCTGAGGTCTTTGCAAGGATTTTACATATTATTCAAATACTACTGGAGTCAGATCTGGTGTGTGATAGATGTACAGTACAAACAGCAGCAGCTTTAAGAGTGAACACTGTCAGTGCAGTGTTGGATATCTCACATACTGTCGATTCACACCAGTCGAGGGCACCAGTAAAGCTGTGAGGACGTCAACGTCCAGTTAAAGAACCTGTTTGGTGAGAACAACCGAGACAATGTTCAATTACTGACACGTGCTCACGACTGATTTAGTCTTAAAGGTAAACCCACACTGATAAGGAGGATTACTAAGCTCCACCTTCTCCACTTACAGTAGTCGGAGGAAAGCGTGTTTTGTTCTCATGATCTCTGACCTCAGGATCAGCCTCTGGCATTGTTGCTGCCAGTAAATGAACTTGAATCAGTGGGATATTGAACAAGGAGGGAAAACTTTTCAGAACAGAAGAGGAGTACTCTGTCACATCAGTTTAGTTGCAACGAACATTTCAGTTCATGAGGACTGAGCAATTTACTGAAAATGTCCACTGAGCATGAGCCACAGCTCACTCTGCAGTGGCAGCACTGACTCGTCTCTGGCATGTGGGACACAATCGCCCAGGTCTTTCCAACTCTGGACATCAGAGCAACATCAAAGCTATCGGTCGTACGAGAAGGGGAGATGTGCTTTAAAAATCCTCATTTTCTTAAAAACATGTTTTTAAAAAAAGCTATAAATCTTCCTTTAAAGCAGGGCTGAATCAGATTCCTCTGAATCATATCAAAAGTGATGGATGTGAAAGTGCTGTGGCCAAAGCTACAAAGCAGTGTTTTATGAACTCTGGTTTCTAATGATTTTGGCGGTAAGCGTGCACATACAGCTAGAACTCCTCAGTCACTCGCAGACCTGGGTCAAATCAAAGCTGAAATCCTTCCAAATACTTGGGAGCGTTTGCTTGAGCCTGTCGAGGGTGCCAGCTGGGTGGGATTCGGCTGCTTCAGCTGTGCCAGACAGGCTCAATCGATCACAGAGAAGTATTTTTCATAAGACTTCTGAGTGCCACTTTGACTCGGGACTGGTAGTGCGGACAGAGGAGGACTACAGCATGCAGGCCAGCACCATCCTTTTATACTTTCTGCCATAAAGCGCCTTTGCTAGCTAATAGCAATTTAATGGATGTGCAAGAGTAAAGCATATGGACTTAAGAGCAGCGGAAAAACAGGTAATGTGTCATATAAGAGATATCTGTAAAGAAAAAAAGGAGGCATTTATTTTTAGAACGAAGTCTTAAAACTTAAACTGCAGAGTGAAACACAACTATACCCCCCTACTGCTAAACTCCAAAACAACATGACATCAAATAAATTAAATACAAAAGAAATTCAAGTTATCCATCGATGACAATAAAAACATTAAAATAAATATATTCGAATACAATTTTCTGTGCCTAATGAGAGCACATCCCCCGGTGCTCTCTTTTTAAACTATCCTCCAGATATTGGAGGTGACGTCTGCAACATTTCTTTGATGCAGTAGAGATTAGTATATTTCCTCACAACTGGTGATTTTTTTTTTGTGTGTGTGTGTGAATGTCAAAAGTTGTTTGTTTTTTTCCTCATTCTGAGCTAAACCATAAGGCTTACTGGCGTTTGAAGACGAGAGAAACTGTGGGGATTTTAAATTGGTCAGACTGGAAGACATGACGCAAACAAACAAACGTCCAGACCGGAGAAATGACAGCACACGTTAAAGACAGAGGAGAGTGCAGGTGGCGGTTTAGTGGTCAGGCACCCAACTCTGATCATCCAAACTCATCCAAAAAAAATAAAGGTAGCAGGGGGAAATTATCTCCCTCATCTAAAAGTCAAAGCACTGACAGGAAAACAGTGACCGACCTTACAAACTCACATTATGCTTCTTTTTTTACTCTCTCCTAGACTCTATCTCAACACACTTACAGTAAACAGTAGCACTTACAATTCAGTTTTGAATCTTTTCCATCCTCACCGCTTTACATTCAGACTTCTGTGCTGCACTTGTTTCCTTTCTGCTCAACTTCCACTTCTTCTTTCTCCCTCGACTCTCCCTCTCACTCTCTCTCAGCCTTTTACCAACACACACCTGTGGTAAGATTGAATAAGGGGTACATTTGTGTCAATATCCAGTGAGGTGAGATGATCCTTCACACAAAACACCTGTGGAATGATTTGGATAAAGCTGAAGAAGTGAATAACAAAATAAATAATAAATACATTTCTGGGTCCCAAACGTTTCTTTGAGTTCAGGGTAAGTTATCGTCTGTCTTTAATGTGTCCCATCGTGTCTCAGCTGTCACATTTTGGTCACAAAACAACATAAAAACATCATTAAAATAAACAATTATATGGAGCAGGAAGGCTATCTGCTTTCCCTCCTACATTCTTCAGCCATTTTTGTTTCTTGAGGTGCCTTTTTTTCTTCCCCCAGCCCTAAGAAATGTTTTTTTCTCTAAAATAATGTAATAACAATAGAAAAAGTTAAATATAAAACGATGAGTAGAACAATAAATAAAACTATATATATAGCCATTGCTGTGATTGGTGTAAACCCATAACAGTTGATGCGTACCTCCTTTTTAAACCCTTCATAAGAATCTTACAGGAAATCAGTCACCACACTCATCAATATGTCATAAATGATCACATTATAAATATTTCATCTTTCTTGGAGCTTTTCACCTGTACTCTCCTCATCACATTGCCCAACCTGCCATCCAGGACTTCTTATTTCACTCGGTGGTGAATCTGTTCCTGCTGCAGTTTCCCTTTCCTGCACAAACACAGAGAGATACGGTTTCCCAAAGCCGTGACAACAATACGTCACAGTAAAGCTTTCCGTCATCGACACAGAGTACCGTCTCGGTTTTGTTTTCCCTTTTGGGACAGAAGAGATTTAGGGATATGTAGTTGAGAAATAAATAAAAAAGCAAACTTTGGGGTGGGGGTACATTCAAACCAACCGTTTTCCTCTCATTTTCACCTCCGCTGTGATGGATATAACAACCACCTTGCACTGCATTGTGGGTAACGTAGTAAAGCTCATGGTTGGGGAGCTTCATCCTTCTGAACTGCTGTGCTTTGAGGTGCGTTCTTAAACACAAACCGATATACCTCGTACACTCTCTCTCTCACACACACACACACACGCACACACAACCTTGACATCTTATCATCATCTTAATATACAGAGTTGACATGTAATAGACATACATTAGGTGTAATGGCAACACCTGTTCTGAAACTGTAAAAGCATAGATACGTGGTGGCTGATGTGTTGCTGGCGCCTGTATAATGATCTGCAGCATTAAGCTAATAGTGTAGCACCGGGTTTCAGTTGTAGCAGTAGTAGTATAGTAGTGGTAGGAGTAGTAGTACCTGTAGTAGTTGAAATAGCAGCAACAACAAGAATGAATTGCACTGAGCAAAACCTGAGTCAAATCCTGCTTGACAACATGAGGTGTGTAGGATTCTGCTCACTGATGACAACTGCTTCCTCAATGCCAGGCAGCCTCAATCAATCCCAGAATTATTTACGTGAGGATTTGAACTCAGACCAGAGTGTCTCTCCAAGTCTGAGCATCCGTCTGTTTGCAAAAGCCTGAGATACAACCGGTAACGGCAGTTTGGGTTTGAATGACTTAAAATGCTATATCTCCATCTCACAGATAAGAAGCCACAAAAACGTTGCCTTAAAAAAATGCATCAGCTGTCTAACTTGATCAGAGGTGTGTTTTGTTTTGTTTTTTTAGAGTTTGGCAGGACAGACACATGTCAAAGCACAGCAGGCCACCGGTGATGCTCCTGTCATTAAAGGGACATTACATAGTAACTGATCACATCACAGTTCGGATCACCTAGGGTTGCAGTGCAGGATTAGAAAGCAATTTTGCCTGGAAGTTCTCTCTGAAAAGGGTTTCACAAAAAAATATATATAAATAAAAGAGAGAAGCAGACTGAAGAGGTGAAAAAGAGAGGGCGAGGAAGAGGAGAGGACGAGGAGGACAAGGGCAAAATCCTTCAAGTCTGGGTTGGGCCAAAGCAGTGGGTCTTTTTGTCCCACATTGATGACCTCGGAGACCAGCTGTGATGATGTCGCTGTGATGGACAGTTCATTCCCGCCCACTGGCAGAGTAAGAGAACTGAGGGAAGTGCGGTCTTCTCTCGTTGTCCAGACAGTCCATCCCGTCCTCGTCAACTAAAGAAAAATTGTGGATTCAGAGGTAATTAATGACTTGATTACTACTGTTAACATTTACTTTTCAGTTCATATAAATACATAAAATCAAACAGGAAATGTATAAATTGCCAGGTTGATTTTATCATCTCAAACCTTACAAAGCATTGTGTCTGTGGCATGTTATTGTGCTGTGGCTTTAAACAGAACACGATTCAATTAACGAGTGTGTCTTTGATGTGCCAATCTCCTGCTAACTAACTGATGTGCGACCTACAAAACAAGTGGAACCTCACATTAGCGCAGAGAAACACATCGGTCCCACTCATGTATAATTCAGTGCTGCACATTTTGAAACCGGTGTCTTTATTTCAGAAAGCCTGTGAAGAGCTGCATGTGGCCCGAGGACTATTACGGAGACACTTGAATAAACAGACAACACCACTTTTGAGTGTTTGTTCCGTCGGTTAATTCAAGTGGAAATGTCTCGCCTGAGGAAAGAGAGGGAGCACTCATAAATTGTTTTAAAAAAAACAACAATCATTAAAGTAATCCATAGTAAAAAAACGGATTTTGATTACTATCAGGTGCTTTACAAATGCAATCTACTCAATGTGCAGCAAACAATTTTATTAACATTATGATGAAGGCCTATTTCTCTCAAATATTGTTCACAAATCTGACAAAAATCTGTTAGTGAGCACGTCTCCTTTGTCAAGTCAAGATAATCCATCCATCTCACAAGTGAGATGGATGGATTATCAAAGGAGTAACATGCTCACTATATTGTGAACAATATATGAGAGAAATACGCCTTTTGTGTACATAGAGAAAGTCTTAGATCTTTGAGTTCAGCTCATGATAAATGTGGGCAAAAATAAAAGTGTTTTTTATTAATTTTGTTTAGTGTATATAATAAATATAAACTCTATTTGTTCACAGAAGATAAAAACATTAAAATCATAGCAGTTAAAAAAGCCATAACTTATTTTAACTTAAGAAAATGCAGGGAGTTAAGTGTGACAGACAGAAGAGACTTACATTTCTCTGGTGGAGTGATTGTAATGGTCTGGGCTGTGAACTCTTCGTCAAAGTATCTGGTGTCTGTCTCCGACGTCACCTGAGGCTTGAAGGGAGGGACCAGCTGAGGAAGGGATGTGAGGAGGACAACAAAGAGGGAAATATTTAGATTGTAAAGTAACACCGGCTCTTTCTCTCTCTCTCTCTCTCTATCCGCATTTCCTGTTGCTCCTGACCTCAATTTTTATTCAAGTTTCAGCAGCATCACAAAAGTGGCTTTCCATCATCTCAACATTTTAAAATTGTGAGCTTTCTATCTCATTCAGAGACACTTACATTAGCAGACTATGTGATAGCACTGCAGTGTCCTGTAAATGGCTGTAAAAGCCATTGAACAGCTTCAAAACATAGACACCAATATCTTGAGGAGGACCAAAAAATGCAATCATTCTGTATCACTCTGATTTGAGATATATGTGTGTGTGTGTGTGACATGTTTCCCATCTGTCATCCTAACACATTTTCAGGTCAGATGTGTTTGTGTGTTGTCTCTGCATTTACATTTGAACTTTTGTGTTGTTTTACCACAAAGGAAGGAAACAGGTGAGGAGTAGAAGAAAGGGAAGGAGGGAGGAAAGGACAGTAAAGGAGGGAGTCAAGAACAGGAGAGGTGGTAGAGTAATCCAGAGAGGAGAGAAGAGACCAAAGTAAAGGGAAGATGTTCAACACATAGGAACTGACTTACACTCTGTGGTGTTACATGAGCAAACACATGCACAGACGGATTGTTCTCCAGGATACAAGGTCACACCTCTCCATAATGCCCTGTGATTTATATTGCTGTCTGTTCTGATGCACACACCACGGGTGTTCATGTGCGATATGTGCAAGATTACATGTGTTACATGAGTTAACCCCAAACTGCTGTAACAGTACAATCCATCATACAATACACGGAATTTTAACTTAAGAAAATGCAGGGAGTTAAATAACTTAATTTTTATGGTGAGTTATTTTGCGCCATTCTACTTTCTGCTTTATTAGACAGTACAAAACAATAGCACAGTTCACATAGCAAACTTTCGGTTTTACCATCATGTTGCTCCATACCTTTTTATCATAGACATCCTGCCAGTCAACACCAGAGAAGAAACTGTGTCTCATTATTTCTTTAGCATCATCTGGTCCTCCACCGAGCCTAGGGTTAGGGTTAGGAATGTTTTAAAAAATCAAATAAAACAGAGATCAGTAGAAGCAGCATTTGAACCAACAAACTAAAACTGAAATAACCCACAAAGTCACCAGGAGTGACAAAGAGATATTTATTACTTTCTTCAGCAAAATAACTTGAAGAAAAGTGAAAACAAGTCCCGAACACTGACTATTATTGGTATAAAAATAGATGCTGGGTAAATGATCCAATCAGAGTACCACAATAAAGCCTAGTTCACACTACGCAATTTTAAGCCCGATTTGCGGTGAGTGGTCAGCGGTCAGTGAGCTCGGCGACCGTCAGGCTGTGATCAGGGGTAAATCGGGGATCAATCAGTGATTGATCGGCGGTCACCAGTCACAATGTGTGAACTACTGAACGACACATCATTGACACATCGCAGACGGCAGCCAGATATCTAGCATGATAAATATCTGGAAGAGTTGGCCCATTCGACATCCACATTCAGCCAATGTGAGCAGGCAGCTGGCAGAGCAGGCACATACTTTTTCTCTGCAAAATACTTTTTTACTCACCTCCAGCTCTCTCTGTAGCTCAGACAATCCCTGCTACCTGTGTGTGCTAATCCATTCTTTCACACATATTCTTTGTCTTAGCTATCTTTATAATAACAAAAACCAGTTGTTTCATGTCTACTTTCGCATCATTTCCCGTTTCACATTTCACTAGTGTTTTCTTGACAAAACGTGGTTTGGAGACCAGCCGTCGGGTGACACAGATGTTGTCAGCCGGTGTAGTGTGTGACCCTCTGTCTACTATCAATCACGTAGTGTGAACGCCACAATGACTCCCGTCACAAGAAGGCAAGTTGTGTAATCTGAACAGCACAGCATTCGGCCACCGCTGAAAGTCATGTAGTCTGCACAAGCATTAATTAGGTCAGTTGGTGAAAGAAAAAGCTTGAGAAACACACACATTCAGGTAAATAAGGAAGAGTATTATTTTCTTACAAAATAAACATACCAGCAGTAAGCAAGACAGTGTGTGTAAGAATTGTTTTATTCAAACAGTGCTTCCTTCAGTCAGGTTTGCAGATATATTCAGTTTAGCAGAATCACTAAATTGTGTCCAACAACACAGAGAGATGGTTTACAATAAAAAAGAGAAAAATAGAAAAACAATAGGCAAAGGTCATACATGACAAAACAATATAAGACGGTATTATTATTATTAAAACAGGAATAATAATAATGATTGTTGATTCTAAAATAAAAGTTTTACCCGTTAACCACACAATTTAAAATAAAAGCTTGTGAAAAAATAGTTTTTAGTCTGCTTTTAAAAGTTCATGTTCATGTGATTCATGTGAGTATTCCAGAGAGTAGGGCCATAATGACTGATTAGGCATTTATTCAATGTATAGATGACGATCTAAGGGATCTGTCTGTTATGTATTCAGTGAGTATGTCAATAACATAGAAAGGAGCTAAGCCATTCATAGATTTAAAAACAATAAAAAGTATTTTACTTTTTACATTTTCTTACTAAAGTACATCTGTTCACATCCCCTCATCTTTAGTGACACTACACCTCGATACATACCTTTTGTTGGGGTCTTTGATGAGCAGGCCTGAGAGCAGGGACTTGGCGTCGGCCGACAGAGTGCGCGGAAACTTGATGTCCTCCATGAGGATGAGCTCAAACAGCTTCTCGTGGTCCTGGTTGTAGAACGGCAGTCGGCCACACATCATCTCGTATGTCACCACACCCAAACCCCACCAGTCCACCGCCCGACCGTAGTCGTTGTCCTCCAGGACCTGAGGAGAGTGGAGACACTTTTTTTTAATTGGGACCATTTGTTTTATTGGACATCTGCTTTTATTCTGCATTTATTTTATTGGACAACACAGAATGCCCAAGGTATTCGACAAAAAGACAGATGAGCAAGAAAAGACGGCAAGGGAGAGTCAATATGCCATTCTGCTCAAGGGAAAAATTAAAAAACAGTTAAAGTTTGAGATGAACAGAAGTAGCTGCACGGATAACAAGGGCTGAGGTGTAGACGGTAAACCCCCACCCCCCAGTCCACACACACACACTCACACACACACACACACACACACATACAGAGGCAAACATCATGGGATGGCAGGTCTTCAGAGGCCCCTGTTACAGTAAGGGAGTCACTGTGCTGGCGTGGCCCACCAGATGCCCCCTCTGGTCCCTGCCAGCTCTCTCTGGCACACTGATCTTCTCCTGGCAGGGACAGAGAAGAACGTCCCTGGATGGAAAAGGCAGGAACAGCACGCAACATGGGTAAGGGCCAGTCCACCCTCCACGCTGGCTAGCACAGGTACTGTATATACTTGGAGCTGCTGTGTTGTGTGTGTTTTGTGTGGAGAGGGAAAGGGCTCCTGTGAAAGAAGTCACTCCCGTATCAAAGGCTTGTGTCTCGGCTGCCTTCATACTCCTATTCCCTGCCTGCTCTCTACTTGCGCTGTCCACTCTATCCTGTCTTATCCTGTCCTTCTGTCCTCTAATCGTATCTTGCCTTGCTCGTTCCTTCTCTTTCATCCTCTCTTGTGCCTGTTCGCTTACCTGAGGAAGAGGGGGGGGAAAGGAGACAGATGCAGGAAGAGAAGAATTTCAGGTGCTGTTGAGGCCCTCATTAACATAATAAGCTTATTAACATGATGAGTGTACATGTGTGGAAGCATGCTTGTGTTGTGTGTGTGTGTGTGTGTGACTGACAGACAGACAGGCAGCGCTGGAGAGCAGCCAGAACAGCATATGTTGTACATCTCGCCAATAATAATAACATCTCACTCACAGTTAATAAAAGGTCCAGGCAGGGTGGACACACGCTAACAGACATAAATACATGAAAGCAAACATACACACACAAAAATGTGTTTTTGACACAACTACTATAAATTACACGATAACACTACACAGCAAATGTCATAACTAGATTTAAAAATATACTGTACACCGAACTCATATCTGCCATTAGCAGCAGCAAGATGGATGTCATTAATACATAAATAGCTTGGATTCATTAGAAAAGAGATTTTATCCAAACTGCAGACTGACAAAACTGTGATAATACCGTGCGCCGATGTTTCACATATCTCAGTGTGTCAAAAGATGAGAAGAAAGTGGTTTGAGTTTCTAAAATGTCAGTTTTAGTGATAAATATCCATGAGTATGGTATTTCAAAATGAATCTGTATGATACTACTTCAATTAAATTTCATATAATGATAGTGCTTTAACAAAAGGTGAACATCTCTTACTCATTATCCCAAAAAAAATCAGTGATAAGTAGCCAATGTTATCTTCATATTGTACATCAGGAATCCTTATTACTTGGCAGCTTCTCCTAATAAGTGTTGGATGAAGGTTCAGATGATTTCCCAACTGTAAATTATGCTAAATATCATGGTGCACTGAGACCAATTGAGAGAAAACACCAAATAAACTACCTGCGACTTTCCACAGCAGCTCGATGCCACAGAAAGCTGGTCATTAACTGAACTGAGCTCACACACTCAACACTAAACTGCTAATGATGCAGGCGGCTGCTTCAGTGTGCAAGTCAACATGTGCGTGGAAGTGAATAAGAGAGTTATGAGTGCTGTTTTATATATATGTGTGTGTGTGTGTGTGTGTGTGTTTGTATGAGAATTAAGCTGGTCACCGTGTTGGCAGCTGCAAAGAAGAGCTGGGGGAACGAAGCGCGCCGCCAGCTCCAGATATACTATTGATTGGTACGGCTGGAGGGATAACACTGGCTTAGACTGCTGGGAGACTGTCAGGCACACACACACACACACACAAACACAGCAGATGGAATATTTATCTGTCCTCATCATATTCATAAAGTTTTGAGAGTGAGGCAAACTAAGAGATGTTTGGTGTTGTTTCAGTCCCCGCACCTTGAGGAGTTACACATACACACACACTGTGTGGTTTATGAAATTCAGAGCAGTTTACAAGGCTGTTTTCGATGCTGATCTACAGGACTGTGTGTCTTAGAACAAAAAGGTACAGAAATGTATACAAATGCAAGCTGTCCAGTTGGGCATGTATATGTATGTGTATGTCACTGTAAGAGGGTGTGTATGTGTGTGTTTGTGTGTGTCCTGGGACCAAAGAAAGTGGTGGCAGCTCGGTTGCAGGCAGGGAGCAGATTAATCCACACAGAGCCAGAATGCTGCCCCACAGCCTTAGGCATGGAGGGATGGGAGTGTGTGTGTGTGTGTGTGTGTGTGTGTGTGTGTGTGTGTGTGTGTGTGTGTGTGTGTGTGTGTGTGTGTATTTTAGAAAAAGGCAGGACAAATAAATAGGACAAGACAGAAGAAGAAAAATGAGATAAAAGCAGCCGCGAGGGAAAAGGTCTTGTCCTGTCCTGGTCCCTGTTGGGGCAGCCATGTGGCTGCTCGATGCTGCTCACGGGACGGGGGTTTTGGCAGCCTGGACAGGACTAGATGGGACGGGACGGGCACACACAGCCTGTGGCTGTACCAGCCCAGATACCCAGCAGGCTACAGGGAACACAAACACACCTCATATACCCAGCACAGTGAACACACACCCACATATTGTTGGTGTCGAGACCTAATATCTCCAAAGTGTCATCATTTGGAAATCAGTTTATGTTGACCCTGATCAGACATTTTGCATACATGTTCTGCGAATGTCTGACTGTGCTGCTATTTTTATGAAAAATCTAGTTACAGTAAAAATAACAAATCATAATGCCCAACATATACAACATACAAACAAAATAAAAAACAAACACATGCAAACAAATGGAAAAAGGCCAAATCCATCCCCTTCAACAGACACAAAAAACAAATAGCCGCAAGGAAATGTGTCAAACACAAAAAATTTGAGAAAACAGAAAAACACTCCATGTGTTTTCTCTGATCCTGTTCCATCCCTTTACAAGGACCTTACACTGCTTATTGTTCATTAATCTCACATAAATCGTTTTGACTATCCTTGAAACAAACAATAACACTTCAACCCAATGCTTTACAAGTTAAGCTGAAGAATTATTCACTTTACAGCCCTGTATGTATATGTGCATGATTCCTTCAGGCACGCAGTAGACACAAACCCTCTTTATTCACTTCTCATCTGCCCTTTTCACTGATGGCAAACATGGGAACTGTCTGAATTTCACTCCCGTAACCCTGAAATATTTTCTCTCCCTTCTCATCTTCCTCTGTCTTCAACCCCCACCTCCCCCTTTCTCTTTTTAATCCCGGCTACTTTGCATCTCTGTAACTTGGCTCCGAGCAAACTGTGTTATTTTTACACGCGGGCGGGCGAGCAGAGCGTGCAGGCGGGTGAGTGGCGGCGGCGGTGGTGTAGATTTCCAGGTTTTTTCCGAGCACCTTCCTCCAACCTCGCCCATCTGCCGCCATCTGCCTCGCTTTAGCCCGCACTTTCTACTGCACTCACACACACAGCACACACGCGCGTATGCACACAAACGCACGCACGCACACACACACACACACACACACACACACACACACACACACACACATATTAATGCACACAGACGCACATCCTGTGAAAAATAACCAACAGCCTCCAATCAGCTTTTGGCACGCAAAGGAAGGGACTCTAAAAAAAAAAAAGCACAAAATGCTGCGCCAAATTGTCCTCCATACTTTTTCAAGTGGGATATACACTATGCCTCTCCCCGCCTGCCTTCATCTCCACATCTACATCGCTCTGTCTCCACCACCCACAGTCCTGCAACACTCTCTGCAGTTGATCTGCTGGCCTTCGAGTGAAGCAGCGCTGATGGCTGGACAGCGGATGGCTACAAAAAAAAAAACTTTTACAAGAATGTAGTTTGTGTGCGAGAGTGTGTTTATATGTGTAAGCACTGTGCTTTGCCCTTTTCCAATTCAACCAACACCCTCATTCACACAGATAAGCTGCATATTTACTGTTCATCCTGATATTATGGTAAGTGTTCGCTTCTGTAATCTGCAAGTGAAATGTACATACATAAATTTCTCTATAAGAAGAAATGGGTAAGGGCTTGTGAGATAGTATCTGAATCATCACTTCATGAGTTGAGGGTACGGTGTGTGTGTGTGTGTGTGTTTTCGTGTGTGTGTGTGTGTGTGTGTGTGTGTGTTTTCGTGTGTGTGTGTGTGTGTGTGTGTTTTCGTGTGTGTGTGTGTGTGTGTATTCCAGAGATGCTTTTATGTATTACAAAGCCTCAGTAAATCTGCTCAGTTTACAGAACTTAACATATATGAATTTTCCATCATATATCAATTTTTTTAATCAGTTCACAAAGAGTCCACATTGTGTTGTGTCTGGTCATCAAATCTATCACCATTTGACAACATTGGACACTTCATGTAATTCATAATGTAACTAAATACCTGTACTATACATAGTCTCACATGTTTGAACACACTAAATTCAGCAATCATGTTTTCTTATGTCATCTATGATATACTGTAAGTAGAGCAGAATATTACTGAACACATCTATTCAAGTTTTGATGTTGATTTTGAGTTGAGTATCATTTTGTTTTGGGATTGAGGAATAATTATCTTGACCTTGGTAAGCAGACAAATATATGGTTGTACCTGCACATGATGCATAGAACTATCATACTGTACTAAATATATTTTGAGGTAGTCAGTGACAGTAATGTGAACTGATCCTGAGAAATGTGCCTTTTGATTTGAATTGAATTGAATTTTTTTTTATCTTTTCTTCCCGGTTCTTATTACTTCTTCTAGGTTTGTCAAGGCTTCTCAAATGTGTTGCATCTACTAAAGTAGCAGATGCTGTTATACTTCATTCCTTAATGTTCGTTGTTTGTTAAGTTAGAAAACCCAAGATTTTAAGATTATTCTACTGTTGCACTCTTAACTTACTGAATAATAGGACTTTATAGTCTTACAGATGCAGAGGGAGAGCAAGACGGAGACTGAAGAGGTGGAAAGGTGGAAAAACTCAGCATGAAACAAACATCTTAGAGAATAATAAAGAATAGGAAAAGAAAGAAGGTGTAGAGGTTTAAAGCATGAGTGTAAGAGAACCAGAAAAGAATAAACAGTGAAATCAAAAGAAAACTTGAGAAAAAGGAAACAGGTAAGAAAAAAGATAAGTTACCTCAGGTGCGAGGTACTCTGGCGTGCCGCAGAAGGTCTTCATAGTAGCAGCGTCTGTGATTCCCTCCTTGCAGAGGCCAAAATCAGTGATCTTGATATGGCCATCTTTATCTAGCATCAGGTTTTCCAACTAGAAGGGAAACAAAATTCCCACAATGCAATGTTCACCATTGGAATCTAAAAGATTCAGTGGAAGTGGTAGATAAAACTGTAATCCTGACAATGCATTTCTTAGAAGAAGGAACTGGCCTGAATTCATCTCAAGAAATTTTTTTTGTCAAAAGGTTAATAAATATTTGACTGTTACTTTTTTCTGTACGGTGAAGTCAGACAAGTAAGGAAAACCATGTTGTATTACCCCATGTTGTATTATACACACACACACTCAGACACACAAACTCTAAGCAGAGAAGGGAAATAAACTTCAGGCGTCTAGTGAAGCCACTCAACCTTTTAATTTTAATGGCTGAAGTGTTTTTCTCACTCTGTCTGCTTTTTCTCCTTTCTGCTTTCTTGGCTGCTGTGAGCAGGGCTGAGGCCAAGGCTGCCAGGCAGACGCTCAGACAGAGCCATCTACCTCTCTACCTCTGTGGCATCAGCACCCCCTCCCTCCCTCCCCCCCCCCTCCTCCGCCTCCCCCCCATCCTCCACCTCCCCCCATCCTCCGCCTCCTATGCTTCTTTACTGCTTTATGTCTATGTGAACTTGTCCCTGTCCCTCTCTTTAATTACCACACATTCTGAGCCACTCTTCTCCTCCTGGATGAAAAAAAGAAATAAAAACTGTGGAACACAAGAGGTGCGGGGGCTAAAAGTTTCCCCTCAAATATCTGATCACTCTCATCCCTGCCCCGCCTCAACCAGCATCCCCTCTCAGTTTCTGTTTACCTTGAGGTCCCGGTACACAATCTTGGCTGAATGCAAGTAGTCGAGAGCCGAGACGATCTCGGCGCCATAGAAGCGCGTGCGCTCCTCTGAGAACACCCGCTCTCTGGACAAATGGAAAAACAGCTGCGGGAGAAGGAGGGAGGAAGAGAGAGGGTGAGAGGGAGAGGGCGGGGGAGAGAGAGAGGGGGGAGAGACAGCAGGGACGGCACAGCAATAATTACTGATTTATTGGAGGAAATTAGCACAACACAAACTGGCTGCCCGCACCATATTGAGATGATAGATAGCGGAGGGGAGGGTGAGCGGGGTGGTGTGTGTGTGAGGGGTGCGCGTGGAGAGGGGTTGGGTGGGGAGCGGGGGACATCTCGGAGGAGGGTGGGTGGAGGCGCTCGGCAGCTGGCGCCTCATCTAGCATCCCCACCACCACCACCACACATGCACACACTCACTCACATACCTCTTCCACGTTACCCTCTGGGCTAGGTTGGCACGGTGCTGGCATGGAGTTTGGCGACGGGGGCCAAATCAAGGGTTTAATCAATACACCAGTCTAGTTAAAGATAGGCCGACCGCCGTAGCCGCCGCCGCCAACGGCGCGCCCCCACCAACCCACATCCCAACAGCCTCCAGTGCAGCACTCATTAGTGGCCTAACTGGCCTTGCCCCCTGAGCCTCCGTCTTCATTTACTCCATTCTCATATCCGTCCCTCTCAGTTATTGGCAAGAAGCTCTTACTTCTTACGTACAAGACTATACAACTTGTTTTTTCCCCCCCGGGTGGTTTGACCTCCCGTTTCTCCTCCATCTTGCTTTTTTATTGCTTACCTCACATTCTCTTCATCTCTCTCCCTAGCTGTCAGTTGTCAAGTTATCACTGTCACACAGCTGCACATGTGGCACCAAAATGACACCAGCCTGCTGCGGAGCACCAGTCAAGTCGAACAAATTACCCATGAGGCCAAGGGGCACGCATCTCCCCATTAATTGTTCAGGGAGGTTTGCATATGGCCGCTAGAGTGATGCTCACAGACCACCTTGCTAAAATGGTGTCCGTGTCTAGTGTGTGTGTGTGTCCGTGTCTAGTGTGTGTGTGTGTGTGTGTGTGTGTGTGTGTGTGTGTGTGTGTGTGGTGGTGTGGCGGGTGGGGGGGCACACGACAGGTGGGCCTTCATCAGTGTACTGGCAGCTGTGACTGTGGCAGGTTTGTAATGGGTTGTGTGTGTGTGCATGTGTGCATGTGTGTGCCTGTTTGGTCACAATTTGTCCGTTGAGGTAAAAAATGTCTGTGTGTGTGTTTGTCTAAGTATGAGTGTGTTTGCTGGTGTTGTCTGTGTGTGTGTGTGTTTGCTCAGGCCTGGCGCTGGCTGAACTGCCTAACTAAGAGGGAGGGTAGCAGGTGACAGTTACACTGAGGGAATGAACCAAGATTGCAAAAAACGGCCCGATTAAAAATGTGAGAAGTGGAGAAGTGGGGGAATCCAAACTCATTTTCGTCTCCGACTGTCATTCTGGCTATATCTGCCCCATAGGTGTGTTCATAAATAGACACAAGCAGGAGACGGATGGAACAGGAAAGAGAGATGAGAAGGCAAGCGAGGGGCCAGTTGGTTAGTAAATTAACTGTTAGAAAGCAATCGAACACTCAAACTTTTGCCACTTCTTGAGTCTTTGCACATCTTATTCATCTCATTCTTTTGCTGCATTGCGGTCGCAGACTCACATACCTCCAATTTACACCATATTGCCCAATGTAAAAATTGTGGATTTATCTGTGAGAGACGTTTATAAACCCAGACAAATGTTTAGGAGATCATCTTTAATAACAACATCTATAGCAACTCATTTAAACTTGGAATAAAGGCTATTTTAGTTTGATTTAACACTGGCATATGTAGAAATGGATAGTGATACAATAGTATTTAAAATGCTTGCAACAACCCTGATAAATAATTTTTTATGAAGTTTAATATTTACTCATCAAAATGAAGACAAAAAGAAATGCTCTCAGATGGCGTGAGTTATGTTGAACTCACGTCATCTGAGTTCAACACAACTTTGAGCGCACAGTAGAATAGGTGGAGTGCCTAATCGCTGTCAGTTAGTGTGGTGAGGTTGTGGTTTAACTGGCTGTATAAAACAGTAACACAAAGATGGGTAACCACATACAACACAACAATCATGAAACTGTGTGTGTGTGTGTGTGTGTGTGTGTGTGTGTGTGTCTTACCTCTCCTCCATTCACATACTCCATGACAAAACAGAGGCGGTCTTTAGTCTGGAATGAATACTTCAATGACTGAAATGACACATAAACACAATTTATATAACTGAATTGATTCACATGTGTGTTTCACAAACAACTCCATTTACTATACAGTTTAATCCACTGTTATATCCATTATACAGTCCAATGTTTATCTGTCACGAGGTTTTCCCTCATATAGTCAGCTGTATTAAATCTTACAGTACAGTGGACTCAAATGATCCCACACTGCAATGGAAAGAGTAGTGTACAAATTACTGTTACTCTAAGTCAAACTACCATGATGCATTTACTGACTAAACAGCTTTTTTCTTTAAATTAGAGCGATGACTTGAATAGCATCAAATTTTATGTGATTTTGCCAAATAATACATTATGTAATTGACTTCTACACGCGCTCCCTATACAGAGCACACTGAAATGATTGAGTGAACGTTTTTGTACGCAGCGAGAAGTCTGGTCCCATTCTAGCTAAAACAGCAGGAGCAAAAAAATGTGATTATTCATAGATTCATGTCTGTTTTGCTTATTCAAAGCAGGTAGGTGTGTGTCTCTTTTTCTTTTTTGAGGGAGAAGGCTGCTGAACAAAAGAACAGTTGGTCGGAGTCTCTTTGTGGCTGCAGGTGTGACAGGGGTAAACTCAGATGTGAACTGTAATTGCTCTCATGACAGCGTGTGTGTGAAAATTCATATATAAAGTGTGTGTGTGTGTGTGTGTGTGTGTGTGTTTCCAGGGAGTGTGATAGAAATGAGCAGTGGCTAATGTGTCTATGTGTAAATCAAAGACAGAGGGTAAAGCTAACAGATGCGGCCATTAATGTACAACAATTTGGTGTCTAACTCATAATTAGCCTCGAGAGACTCAGGCATGTATAGGATCATTACGCCGTCTGCGTTTGTGTATCTGAATTTAAACCATTTTGTGTATATGAGGTACTTACAGTGAGAAAGGGGTGTCTGGTGTTTTTCAGTACTCTGCTCTCTGTGAGTGTGTGAGCCACTTCATCCTGCACACATACGGCAAAAACTGTTTCAATCAAACAGCTAAATAAAGAGGCAGTTGAAGAGCACTTCATGAAATGCATTACAAACATCACATACTGACACCCGACACTGTACTCAAAATTAAAAGCAGTCAGAAAATTAGGCTTTAGTGCCATATACTTCTGTTATGTGGTCCATTTATATACAGTATACAGTAAAAGATAAAAAGATTGATCAAGAGATGAACAGTCTCTGCTAGACTAACCTTGGCTATGATGACTTCTTTTTTAAGGATTTTCATGGCGTAGTATTTCCCACTGGCCTTTTCTCGGACAAGAATCACTTTACCAAAGGTTCCCTTTCCCAGCAGCTTAAGGTAGTCAAAGTCACTCATTGTCTTGGGGAGGGAAACACAGAAGAACCAATGTCAGCTATTCGTCTAAGCTTCACGTTGAAAAGTTTATATGTTATGGCTTTACCCCGACTAGCAGCGTATGTCGTTTGAAATATTTAATACTACTGCCAATATAATATCTGAGTATGATACCTTGCTTTGAGGAATTTTAATCATGATTTTCTACAAAACACTCTTTTTCCATTTAACAAAAGAATCTTCTCAATTGTTAAATATCATCAAAACACAAGCAGCCAAGAATGAAAATTTGCAAAACTTTGATTCCTATCAGGAATTTTCTGACCAAGTCAACAAGATTACTAATCTATGAAACATCTGATGCCAACCTTCTGTATTTACTGAGTGATACAGACATATTTCTGTCAGTACCAAAAAAGTTAAAAGTACTACTACACTACAGTATATCAGCCTGGCCAGTATGCCAAAACTACATACTGCAAAAGCTTTATAGTGTGTGGTACAATAAACAGTGGAGCCTGCAGGAGCCTCTAGTGGTACTTTATACTGTGTAATTGCTTGATATATCAAATGTAGCCTTTACTTTAACTACATTTACAAAAGTTATTTTACATGACTGCTTTTACTTGCTGGAGCACTTTTCATTTGGGAAAACCAATTTACTCGCTTGTTGTTGACACAAACCTGTGAGTAAGAGGACCATTTTTAAAATTGCAAGCAGTCAAAGTTAGTAACCCATTGTATGGCAATGAGCAGCAATAGTACAACTGGAGTCATTTCTGTATTTTGAGTGTGTGAGGTAGAGAATGTGTTCATAAGTCTGCGTGCACGTCTGTTGTCGTCTGTTACCTTGCGTTTGTGGTGTGTGGTGGAGATGTCCATCTCCTCCTCGACCATGTTGTCGATGTTGGAGGTGGGGCTGCACTGGATCCTTTCTTCCTCTTGTCTCTGCAGCTTGTCAGCCACCATCTGGATGGCCTCCGTCCACTCATCTCTGAGTTTACAACATCCAACAAGACAAAGTTTAAGGAAGCACCAATACCAATACTTACTCCACTGCTTCACTGACACACATTACAGTTAAATTGGACGAAAATGACTGACTGATTCTTTATTTCTGTTTCATAAAATCCAGTGTTTTTCCATATTTGGAAGGTCATGTTTAGAGCTGCAACGGTTAGTAGTTTGACAGAAAATGAATCAATCATTTTGATAATAGATTAACCGTTCTAGTAATTTTTCAAGCAAAAGTAGAAATAACACTTGCTGGTTGTTAGCATTTGATTATTTTTTGGTCATATATGATAATAACCTGAATATTGTTGGTGGTTGGAGTGGTTACCAAATAAAGCAAGCAATCTGGATACGTCGCCTTGGGCTCAGGGAAAGCATAACAAGCATTTTACACATTTTCCTGACATATTATTGATAGAATTATTAAATCAAGAAAAAAATTCATTCAAAGGTTAGAAGAAAAGATGTCAAAGGGCTATCATATTATATTTATTATTATTATTAAACCTTTATTTAACCAGGAAAATCCCATTGAGATTACTAATCTCTTTTTCAAGGGAGTCCTGGCCAAGACAGCGGCACAGATCACAACAATTCAGTACATTTCAGACAATTTCATAACAGAAAGACTATTTAAAAACATTTACAAACCATAGATTTCATTTCCAAACCTTTCAGCAAGAGTTTAAATTGGCCTATTGAAACCAGTTCCTTTAATTTCCAGAATATTTGTAAATTGTTCCATGTTGTGGGGGCAGAAAAGTGAAATGCCACCTTACCAGCTTCTGTGCGGACACTTGGTACAGACAGTAGCAGTGAATATTGTGAGCGTAAAGAATACAGTCCAGCCCCTTTTGGTTGAATATATTCACACAGATATGAGGGGAGCAGACGCAGAATACCCTTATAAATAAACATATACCAATGACTGAGTCTACAATTTTCCAGTGCTGGCCAGCCCACACGTGTATAAAGTTCACAGTGGTGTGTGCGAGGCTTACAGTTTGTGATAAACCTCAATGCGGCATGGTAAACAGAGTCCAATAGTTTCAATACTTGGGTCGGGGCATTCATATAAATGAGGTCACCATAATCCAGAATGGGTGTAAATGTTGCAGCTACAAGTTTCTTTTTTGCATTGAAAGAAAAACATAGCCTATTTCTAAAATAAAAGCCAATTTTCAGTCTCAGTTTCCTAACCAAATGTTCAACATGTCCTTTAAAACTAAGACTGTCATCAATTAAAATACCTAGATATTTAAAAGATTTAACTCTTTCGATTTCTGCCCCTTGAAGAGTGACAATTGGAGGACTTATGTGCAGATTGCTCTTTGCTTTTGAGAATAACATCAACTTGCTCTTATTTGCATTTAAAGTAAGATCCAGTTGTAGAAACATATTCTGAACTTTGTTAAAAGCGTTTTGTAATGTAGAGACACAGGCACCAAGAGTTTTTGCAAGGCTATAGATAACCATATCATCAGCATAAAAATGGTAATTGGTGTCCACAAGATCCTGGCCAACATTGTTCACATAGATAGTAAATAAAAGTGGCCCCAAAACAGAGCCTTGGGGCACTCCTTTAGTTAAGGAAAGAATATTAGAACAATTATTATCTGATTTAACACATTGGGACCTGTCAGTAAGATAATTACAGATCCATCCAACTGCCTTTTTAGATAATCCAATATTGATCAGTCTCTCTTTGAGTAAACTGTGGTTTACAGAGTCAAAGGCTTTTGACAAATCAATGAAAAGCACTGCACAATGTTGCTGTTGAGATATCGTTGATCACCTTCAATGTTGCTGTTATGGTACTATGACCTTTCCTAAAGCCTGGCTGGAATTTGCATAAAATGTTGTTGGAATACAAAAATTCTTTCAACTGTTCATTTATTAAAGATTCCAAAATTTTTGATAAGATACAAAGTTTTGAAATTGGCCTGTAGTTATTAACAATTTTTGGATCACCACCTTTGAATAATGGTGTGACAAAAGCTGATTTCCAGATTTTGGGAATTTGCACAGTGGTCAAACTTAAGTTAAAAATATCAGTCAAAGGTTTTGCTATTAAATCAGCTGCAATTTTTAGAAAATACGGATCAATTAAGTCAGGTCCTTGTGGTTTACGTGCATCCAATGATTGTAGTGCTTTGCGGACTTGACACAACATGATATATATATAACATATATATAACATGATATTGTTCCTGTTCCTGATAACGTTCCTGTTCTTGTGGTTGTTGTTCTTGTCCCTGTGCCCTGTCTAGCGTTTGCCCAACTCAAAATGCCAAACTAATCAAACAGCATAATACATACATACAGTTATACATAATTGAAACCAGGTAACAATACATTACACAGGTGTAAAATATAATACTGATTATATTCTCCAATAGATTGGCTAGTTCACTAACTTAACCAGGTTTTTAAAGGCGCTAAAGTGTTTTCAATTAACATAAACACCTATTTGTTCAACAGAGAGGAAACATGGTCAACTAGAGAATCAACCAAATGAGCAATGATCACAGAGCAGAACTAATGCCTCCCAGTCTGTGCATGTGTGTGTGTGTGTGTGTGTGTGTGTTTGTGTGTTTGTGTGTTTGTGTGTGAGTGAGTGAGTGAGTGAATGAATGTGTGAGTGAGTGAGTGAGTAGGTGTGCACAAATGTACAGCCATGCATTAGAGGGAACAATGCATTGTTGTTTGCTAACATTGTTCCTCCCCATTGACTTTCCATTAGCGGTGTTGTTCAACATCTGTTGAGAGAAAGACTGTGAGTTTTATTGTGTGTGTGTGTGTGTGTGTGTGTGTGTGTGTGTGTGTGTGTGTGTGTGTGTGTGTGTGTGTGTGTGTGAGATCGTCATCTGTAGCAGAAGGCCAGCCATGCATCAGGATGTGCAGACACATTAACTGTATTTAACGATGATGAATATAGTGGTTTATACACAGGGCCAAGCTTCCCCTCTTCTCTGGGAAACGAGAAGAGAAAGTAAGACCAAAACAAGTTATTTCTAAGGCTTTATATGTCCTGAAATTTCATATAAAGAGGTTCCCTTTTATTTCTGATTTTAAGCATGGAAAACATGGGAAAATTCTGAAAATCCTGTTTCCTCAGGACTGAACTAGGTTCAGTAAGAATTCTCTTTTGATTTTTTCCCCACTAATCTTCACTCAAACAGTGTTAATCCTGTGCTACTTGCAGGGGTTACATGTTAGCAGAAAACACTACAGAGCTCGAACTGAGGTGAACCAAAGATGATATTCAAATTTTCAGAAATCCTCAGGACTCTGGAAAAGCAAGTCAGGATTTACGAGTGAGCATTTTCAAATACACTTTCCCAGTGTAAACCAAGAGGAGATCATAATAATGAAACCTGTTTGACTCCCAAACGATCACCCCTGTGTCTTTTATTTTGTTTTGAGTTAGATGCCCATATGTTTCCTTGAGGGATATGGAAGAACACCCATCTGAACCTAAACAGAGCAGTGTCTGTGTGTGTTTTTAAGATCTGAATCCCTTTATAGCGCAAAGACTTCTGAGCGTACCCTCCACGCTCCAAAACAAGGGCAAACTCAAGTTACACTCCATCTACAACAATGGAGCACTCAATTTGCAAGACCCATGATGTGTGTGTGTGCGCATGTAGCTACATGAAAAGCAATGGGAACTCTCTCAAGGTCAGGCAGCAGATAAATGCTCTCTCTCTTGGTTAGAGTGTTTTTTTGTATAATGAGATTTTTTTTTTTTTTTTTGCTAATGAGAGATAATGGGCCTGCCTACAGTCGGGCACCATGCCAACACGTGCCACCCTCTCTGCTCACGGCTGGGGCTGTGGTAGCTGGAGCTCTGCCAGCACTGGTACAGTACAACACATACAGTAAAACACACACAGAAGCACAGACACCCAGTTGCGGTGCACACTCACACCTTTCCAACTCACTTTAACTTCAATGATGCACACACTTCTACAGCGAAACATTGGCACATCTGGAGCTTACAGTTGTCCGCTTATAAACTTGCATATTGAACACACTTGACTTTCTATAATACTCAATAAAAAAAGTTAGTTTTATGTTAACTCTGAAATGTTAATTTGATCATTGAGACACAAAACTATTATAAGCAACATATAACACAGACAAAGTTGGACAGACAGCGGCAACACTTTCACACACACATAAAAACACACAAACTCAAAGGATGCACAGAAGCATCTGTGGTCTTCTGGGCAAAGCTGTTCATTTTCTGGAGATAAACACCTCAGCTCCTCAGAAAGGAACTGAGCAGCTGGAGAATTTATGCCAACGCTACTTGAAAGGTCTCCTTTCCACTCTGTCTCTCTCACCCTCTCTCTTCCCCTCAGACGCACACATACACACACACCAAAAACTCAACTCTCTACAGTACAAACATCCTCACACATACTGCCCTTGATGATACTTTTACCCACATGATATACTGTATATACAGTACTGTGTAAAGGTTTTAGACAGGTGTGGATAAAATGCTGTAAAGTCAAAATGCTTTCAAAAATAGACATTAATAGATTATATTTATCAATTAATACAATTAAAAAGTGAGTAAACACAAGAGAATTAAATCAATATTTTGTGTGACCATGCCTTGCCTTCAAAACTTCACTTGCACAAAGTCAGGGATTTAGTAGGCATATTGTCGTGTGTGATTAAACGAGTATACAAAACAAGTGCTAATGATCTGAATTGTCAGACAGGCTTTGTTATTACAGGCAGAATGCATTCAATCACTTGTTTTGTCAAAACGCATTTTAGGTGTAATATGCTATCTGTACATAAAAAGTTTATTTTTCACTTGTGGCTTTAAAGAAAGCTCTTCTGAAAACATTCAGTAGCATCTAAATTTGATTTAAGCCAGACTCAACTTGATATATATGATTAGAGCTCTTACTAGCCAGATTCAAGAAGACACAGTCCTTGACATTCTCGTTGATCACTGACCAACAACAACTGGAGGATGCTCTAAGAACTGAGAGTCTTTGGGGAACTAACCTCTCATCAGGCGAGTCCACGTGGAAGGTCCTCTCAATGACGGTGGTCCACTGGAGGCAGCGTATGATGAAGGTGTTTGGCTTCGGCCTCTCCGTCTTCATCAGCTGACATTCTGAAACAGGCAGCCAGAGGTTCAGTCCTGCCTTTTCAGGACAATATACAACAGCAATATTTCACAAAGAGGAATGAAGGAGCTCGGAAATAATAGGAGCTTCTAACTATACCTAGAATTAGATTCTGATCTGGTGAGGGTGCTTTTAGTTACATGCAGTTTGGCCCTGCACTGATAAGGTGATATCAAATCACAAATGTGTTCATGTTAAATGTCAACATTACTGTTTTTTCAGGCCTGTGAGCAGTGCACATGTGTATATGAGGGGTCCATCAATGCTTTTCTTGGCCTAGGTTTTATTGGGGGGTTTTCTCTCCTATTTTGTTTAGTTATTGTTGTATTTTCTTGTATTTTATTTATCATATTCTTCACCACATGCTGTATGTATTTAAATGTAAGGCTTGTTGAATTTACTTATAATACTATGTGCTATGTAAATAAAACCGCCTTGTCTTGCATTAAGCAACAATTAACTTTGGTATAAAAGAATATAAGCAAAACCAGGTAACTCTCCCTTTTTTGACATGTAGGAAAAGTACAGGTGTAAACAATAAAATGTAGCCGTTTTAGTTTGAGGGTCCTGGTATTGTACATGCTGGCTCACTGTTAGCTCATGTTGAATATCAAGCTGCTATTAAATGAACAATCAAGAAAATATGCATCTTGGTTTTTAATTTGTTAGTTTAAAAATAAGCAACAACTTCAGCCACCAATAATTCAAATAAAGGTGCTTTCATGTGCCAAGGGATATTATGTGTTGCAGCACATATGCATGTGGCGAATACCCGAAGAGACACATTTCTGTGAAAATGGGCAATACAGTAGGCCATTATTACACAAACGCATAATACAGTACTCAAACGCAGAAACATACACACACATGGCCAGATGGGGCTGTGAGATCGCTGTGAGAAAGAATGCATCTTCATTGTCCCTCAGCAGTCTCTGTGGTTATTGGGGACAAGAGTTGATGTAAAAGAGCATAATGATCCATCCTCTGACCTCTCATCTCCCCCACTTGTCCTTTGTTCTACATACATCACCCTCCATTTCCCTCTGCTGTTTCCTCCTCCCCTCTGTTCTCCTTGTCTCCTGTCATTCTCTCCTGCCCTCATCTCTCTTCTCTTCTCTTCTATCCTCTCTCCTCCCATCCTTGGCTATCCCATCTTCCAATTACTTTCTGTTTAAGTGTGGCACAGCACAGCACGTCATGGTTCAGCCTAAATATAGACAGGAAGGTTAATGACAACACCACTCAGGTTGTACATGCGGCAGAGTTTCAATGTAAATTCACACACACACGCGAGTTACTACCTGACTCGTGAACATGGCCTGCTGTGCTGCCAGACAACAAGGTCATGCTACGGGTTGATGCCAAAAAACACTCACACCCACCCATGGACAAACAAACACACGCACACACACACACACACAAGTGATATTGAAGTTTGAATGTTAGCTGAAATTGGGTTGTTTGCCACAGCAGGCAATTGTGAAATCTGTGTAGCGGTTTAGTGGGTGTATGTGAGTCCAAGCATCAGTGTGTGTGTGTGTGTGTGTGTGTGTGTGTGTGTGTGTGTGTGAGCGACAGGCTTGTATGTATGAGTCCCTCTGCAGGGAACAGGCCTGTACCATCTCTGTTCCATCTGACCACTTCTGTTGTTCACACACACGCATAAACACACACAGAGGCGAGCACACACAAATAAACAAACACATACACACACATACACACACACACACATACACAAACCACCTGGCCTCCCAGCTTTGGGCAACAGATGTGGCAGTGCCAGTGCTGTGCCAAGCAACCGGGGCCGGATGTATGGCCTGGCTTGTCCTCCTCACAAACTCTTTTCCTCTCCTCTTTTTCCTCATTCTCCAATCGTGTCTTCGTCTCCTCCTCCCTGTCTGTTCAGTGCTGACGATGCTTCTCTCCTCCCTCATCCTCCCTTCCTCTCCCCCATATTTCACCCACAAAAGCCACACTCTCCAATCCCTCCATCTCTCTCTCTCTCTATGTATCTCTCATCCATTGCTCTCCACCCTAATCATCCTTCCATCTCTGTGTTCTCTCTTCTTCCTTTCTCCTCCCCACATCTCCAATTTTCTCTTCCTCCTGCCCCCTCCGATCGACTCCCATCGCTCACACTGATTCTTGTCCTCCCTTCCGGACTCCTATCTTTCTTTCCCCTCCTCCGTCCCTCAGTGTACCATTCTTTATCGTTTTCTCTGAAGTATCAAGCTTGGATTCTACCATTTATCATCATTTTGTTTCTGTTTTTGCCCTCATCCTGCACCTATTCTCCTGGACACTCCTATCGTCCCCTCCATCACCAGTCCTCACTACACTGCTCTGCAGATAGTTCACATAGTGCTCTTCCAAAGCCATTCAACTACAATACCTGACAAGATTTAATTTACTAAATCTGTTCATTTTGATTATACGTTTGATTTAATAAGAATGATTGATGGCATGCCCAATTCTAAGGTCCTGTGTAGTATTACAGTATTAACTATGAATACATGCAAGTAAATACAGTGACACTGACATCTGCATTAGGCCTCATGTCACGAGGTGAAACACCATCTTAGAATCTATCAGATTACACAGAGTAGACAGCTAGGTATGAACATGAAATTGTATATATAATAGCAAACAACTACACAACATGCATCCATTTATTTATTAAGAGACATATGATTATGCTGTATATACATGAAGTGTTTCATCTGTTTTATCGAGCACAATCGTGGATGCCGATCGACCAATTTTGGTTGTGTATTTTGTTTTCCCAGAAAATCAAATGTACTTTGCCAAATTTAAGCAACTCAAAAAAGGCCATCTATGCCTTTACCTCATTTCATCTTGATTATAGTAATTCCTCTGGTCTACAACTGAATGTATTTGTTAGGCTTCTAACTTTTGTAATACTAAGTGACAAGAATACATTATACCAAGTCTGTCATTGATAATATTTGCCTTAACTAATCTTGTTTATTTAAATGTTTTCTTGCTGTGCCTTTCTCTTTTGGACAGATGTTAACATTTGCATGTGGATTTACATAGTTGGTGCATGTGTTTGTTTGCTTGGTTTTCGGTTCGAGTCTCATTTGATTTTATCTACTGTAATGCACTTTCTAACACTGTTTTTATTAAAAGAAATTTGTTAAAGAAAGTCGTTATCTGATTGATATGTTTACCCGATGCCAGAAGAGACAGTATTACTGTATTTGGTGTTCAACTGAACAAGTCCATGTTTGTGTCTTCAAGAACCAACATTATTACTGAGATATCTGGTCTGAATCAGTGCACTGTGTATTTCTTGAGTGTAATAATCACTAATGTATTAGCTACAGTAGAGCAGCAGAGTCTGGATAGAATTGAAATCAAAACCTAAACTTCTTCAAAAACATTGATTTAGGAATCAGTCCTACTGTGAATAGCTGACAATTCTACAGTGACGTGTGTTTTATTTAGCTAGTCATATACAATAATATGAAAGTGAAAATGTTTTGTGTCTTGAAAAGTAAAAGTAATACCTAAATGTCAAAAACATTTCAACATTCAGTTCTGTCTTCTGTCAAATTATGGATTTTGGGCTGACCACTGTATTTATTCCAAAGCTAAAATGGCTTGATAGACACAAAGTTTTACTGCCAATCTGCATTTATTGTACGAACAATGAGCTGTGATCGTGGTAATGAGACTGAAATTAATCTTGTTAACTCATTAGCTGGTTAATTACACATGTCAACGACGCTGTGTAGCTTGTTAACCAGGTGCAGACAGATTATATTACTGATAAATGGTTAATTAGAGTCCACAGTGAATTCTGTAAAGCATACCAACGCTGTGAAGACTGATGACTGACAAGATGCTTGACATGCCATGAGTGAAACTGATGCAATAACTGTTGTACCATTTCACTGTGGCTCTGTGTGATGAAACCACAAGAACATTTCAGCAACATCTCGTGGCATTTTACATGACAGAGGTGATTTGCATTGACATTTAAGAAACATAAAAAAATATAATAAATTACAGAATATAGGATCATAGGTCCTTCAACTGGAAGATATGGGTTCAGTATCCAAGAGCAAGACACTGACTCTGTACCACCTATACAGGTTCTGCTCTAAACTGAAATTTTCCCTGCGGGGATTAATTACAGCAGGTGTCACAGTATTATCATTATTGTTAATTATGAGTCTAAAAAGAAGTATGCGGGGTACATGGGCGCAGTACATACAAAAAAGATGCAGATACCTGGACACACTACTCTCTCTGTATAACCATTAGGACTAAAAAGCTGTGTTTTTACAGCAAAGGCAGTCAAATCTGAGTTGACATAACTAATTTACAACTAGACAGAAAAAAACAAAATGATGCTCCAAACTACAGCATCAGGAATTTAAAAGCGGCATCCGTCAGATGGGAATCTGTAAGCATGGGATGGGTGGACTCTCACTCAATGTCGTGGTTCTGTGTACACATAATGTAAAGGTGCAGGTGCAGTAGGATCTAAAGCACAAAGCCCAGAGGTTATTTTGATATATGGTAAATAACGTACTTGCTACAGAGAAGTTATTTAGGGGGTAGGGCAGGTCGGCATCCTGAGGTTTCTCTTTGTAGCCAATGAAAGAGCCGTCTGTCTTCAACAGGAAGTAACGTGGCCGCCAGTTCTTTATGTATTCGCCTGAAAAAAACAAAAAACAAAAAGATGGATACAGAGGCAGAGAGGAACAGTCAAATATGTTCAATCAGACACTTAGAGCGAACACAACTAAATTCAGATCATGAGGGCTACAGTGGTGATGATGCTGAAGCTAATAGTGCACTCAGGGGTTTTATGATGATTGTGATGATATATGGAAATTACTAATAGCAATAATGATGATGGTGATCATTTTAAATACAGATTTTATCCCTAGGCAGATAAGAGCCAGTACGCTTGACTCATCTGTCCAAAGGATATCATGTAGTATTTACATAGACACACGCACACATACAGTATCTCTGTGACTCCCACAGTGCTTGCCAGATTCAGACCGGATTATCATGTAAAAAATGACAAAAACATGTTTACCAGCACAACAACCAAACTACCGATGCCAGAAACATCATCTGGCTGATACATGGGCAGGTGTCGAGGTGATGACCCCTCTACCAAACGCTTGCGCGTACACACACACACACACACACACACACACACACACACACACACACACACACACACACACACACACACACACACACACACACACACACACACACACACACACACACACACACACACACACACACACACACACACACAAACCACTGGTCACTAGCAAAGGAGGCAGAAGAGAAGAGGGATGAGAGATAAGAGGAGATGACATGGCATGACATGAGATCAGATTACACATAGAGAATAACTTTTCGTAGACTGCTGCAACAAATAACAACATCTGCTGAGCAGCTTGTGGCAGAGTATTACCCAACTGGCTGGCACAGACTGGCACTAAGGTGGCACCACAGCTTTATCAGATGACCCGCTGCAGGATTGTGTGTCAAACATTTCCACACCACAGAGGCGGATAACACTTACTGGAAACAGCATGGATACACACATGGATTAAAGTACACACGTGTGTGGATTCACGCATAGTTGGACGAGTACAATGAGTAAAAAAACAGGGATGAAACTGTGCGTGCACATGCACGGACGTGCAGAGTGCACGGCTGCAAGTAATACCGAGACACACAGCTCACAGCTCCTGATGAAAGAAACTGACAATCTCAACACTTTCCAAAGCCGGGAGCTGTGTAAACATTTCACTTTCTCCTTTCAAAACAACAGAAATAAAAACCACAGAAGGACACAAATGTTCTCTACTTCTTTTAATTAACCAGCCATTCCTTGACACACACACACACACACACACACCTTGGGAAGACATACTAGCCGACACACACACACACACACACACACACTAAGCTGGGTAACAACTCTGATCACCTTTCTCAGGCTAATTCGCTAGGAGAGGAGAATAGGCAGCGTGTGCATGTGTTCTATTTGTGACATCCATTTAAAGCGGAAATGACAGCAGGCCTTGCTCGTTAACACGTCGCAGAAAAACACCTGCTCCGCCGAAGGGACCATGCGACTGCAGGGCCTGCCGGTACCTCTGAGTGCTGCTGGTGGTGGTGGTGGCTCTGTGTGTGTGTGTGTGTGTGTGTGTGTGTGTGTGTGTGTGGTAGGTGGGGGTTGAACCGCCACACATGGACAGAGAGACACAGATAAGAAAATGCTGTTTGGTGCCAGTGCGTCATCAGGATTACCAAATCACACCTCACTCTCTCCTCTCCCAGTCTCTATTTTTCTCTTTTTCACAAATCCACCCACACTCCCCACCTCTCCCATTTCCTTCTCCTGTTCCTCAGAAACAAAGCATCTTCTTTGGATCACTTGCTACTGATAAACAGAGTGCTGTGAGAGGGGCTGAAAGGGAGGGGTTGGGAGGAGGGATGGGGGAGGTTGTAAGTGAGCAGAAAGAGAATATCTCATCAATGCTGACCAAATCGGTATATTAAACTAGGGATCAGGGTTTCATGTAATCAGTTCAGCCTTTTGATGTGCATTGCGGGCTTTTGCTTCCCTGGAGAGAGGATGAATGTTAGCAAGCCTAATGAGCTTAAATTCTACCAGAAAAATACTTTCATTAGTACTTTGTAAATTAATGTAAGTGAGTTATATAATCTAATGCAAGCCAATAAAATTGCCCTGCAAAATAAACTGAGGATTCTAACATTTACATTTTTTCAAAGAGGACATGATTCAACTTTATGGAAATATTTGAGGCTGTAGTTTTGCAGTGTTGTCAAACTTGATTTCAATTTAAAATATTGTACAGGTGTTTCTGTTATTGTGTTATTATCTGTTATATGTGTTATTTTGCTGTTGGTTCAGATCAGAAGAAACATATAACATACAACATGACACAAACTAATGATGTGGGGGGAAAAAATGGATCATCTGGATTAGAGAAACTCAACTTGACTTTAAAAGTGGATCGGAGAAAAGAGATGTATTGACTGGCAAAATGGATGAGGATAAACAGAAAGTTAAACTGATAAAACTATTATAAACTGGCAGTGATGACTGGTTTGCTGGTCCAAGGCCAGTCATTTCTCTGAGTCAGTTTCTAGATGAAGTGTCCAACCAATGGAAGCCTGTGACTGGCCACTTCATCGCTCAGCTGTCCAGTACAACTGAAAACATTTAAGCAATCCTTCTGGCCGGGTCCTCCACGGCGTGTATGTGTGTGTGTGTGTACACGTCCACTGTGGGGCGGGGGAGGGGGCAGCCAGGGGTGGCACAGACGGAGAGAGGAGATGGACAGTTGTCCACACATGCAGTTCCAAACAAACACAGGCATGCGCACACACACACACACACACACACACACGCACACACAAACTAACACAATTCAGTTTCGACCGTTCCAATTCTCCGAATGATCCAATGGTGTTCTGTCAAGCTATCCCGTCTTGGCCCTGCCTGTAATGAGTCCAGCGAGCTCTCCCACTCTGGACAGCTTGTCTGGGGAGCCACATGTCTCTAGTTTGGACTGCTGGAGAAAACAGAACAGCCGGTCTCCTTCCCACACCATCTCTCTCGGACTCCTCACTTCAGTTTCATTTAGTTTTCTGCACAACTTTACTTTTCCCTTAAGGCCAATTAGTAAATACTACAATATACAGTGCTTAAGACAACAGGAGTCTCTTGTTTCTTGTTAGAACAACAGGATATCAGTAATACAGGACAACGTGGGTGATCTGGAAGATCTAAGGAACAGAGGATATTTAGGAGGATAAGAAAACCATTTTGAAGTGTATTTAAATTCTGGGCTAAATGTGTTCAAAACAGAGAAAATATGGACTCTCTTCCATCTAATTTGATGTCTTAATTGGATATATACTTTCTGAAATGTTACTTTTTCTTGTATTGTTTGAAAAGTGTTAAACAACTTTGTGGCTAATTCAAAAAGGTCTAAAATAGAGAATAGAAATTCAGATTTTCAAATTTCTACCCCTCTAGACCTTTTGTTTTCATAAGCCACAAACTAAGAATCAAAAACTGGACTTTTAAAAAAAGTTATTTTGGAATTTCCAGAAGAAATAAATCTTGTTGGCACATCCTCCAGTTGCAGCTTGTGGATTTAGCAGTAAGAGACAGAGATGAATCAGCTGTGACTGTGTCCGTTCCAAGCTTTCTGATTGGACAATTACAACAACGCACTGACTAACTGTCACTCAATTAGCGGGCTGATTAACTATTCATTTCGGGACAGAGGGGGAAAGGGGAGAGAATGAGAGAGATGGAGAAAATAGGAGACAGGTACAAATGATAAGGCTGAAATTCTGCCAGCAAAACAGTAATGAGACACACAAACTTGCACAAACTTTTAAGTCTCCATCTCTCGTCTGTCTCGTACTCACTCCTTCAGAACACCAACACACCTCTGCTCTTCTGCTTTGCCGAATGCCACGTTTAATCAGAGACCGAGGCAGACGAAAAAGCAGGAAAAACCTTGATGACAATTAAATAAATAACTCCATAACTATGTGAGCTCACCAGCCATTTGTTAATCAACCCAAACAGGGATTTAATTTAATGCTTTGGCCGAGGCTGGAGCTGATATGCAGATGGCGCTGAGACGGGGCTGTGTGACTGGCACTCTGGGAGCTGGAGGGGTAGCGGGTGGTGGTGTATAGAGGTAGGGGGAGGCGGATGGAGAGGGTGGAGGGGAGGTTCTGCCACGTTCCAGCACATACACAGCAGCTCACCGGCAGGGAGAGGAATGTGTTGTCTGGCCACATAACAACACACACACTCTCTTTCTCTCTCTCTCTCATACAGCCATACACACACATTCAGTGCTCAGAGCAGTAACACAGAGCATTTGGCTGAAATGGGACAGAATAAATAACAAGTTTACTGACTTAGTGACTGAGTAGCTGGCTGGTTGTTCACATGATAAGTTGACTAACCAAAAGAAAAGATAAAAGACTTCTTAGCTTACTTGAGTAAAAGCAGTAATACATAGGGAGGAGAAGGAGGGAGAGAGAGAGATTAGCTAAACATCAGGGGTAAAGGAAGTGAGGGAAAGGTGGAGGTCAGTGTGAGCAGCAGAGAGGGCACTGGGGTTTAAGAAAGTAGAGAATGGTGCGGTAAGACGCTTGAAGAGGACATCTGTCTCAGAGTCTGTCCATGAGCACTAGAAGCAAGCAAGAACGCATGTTCCAGAGCTGCATGGCACTCTTACTGGTGCAAAACTGTGTTGAGAGGAAATAAATGAAGTTGTTAAGTTTTTAAATGTTTAAGACTTTCTGTAGAGTCTACTTCATTGTGCATTTGTGTTTATGAGGATACGGCTGTGTGCGTGACCCCGACCCCAGCAGTTCTAACTCCAGTCTGCTCAGACATCTTAAGGCGAATCCAAGCTCTTCAAAGCCAATCCACTTACAGTGCATTAGTCTCATTACCACATCGGGACTGGACTGGTGTTAGCGTGTGTGCTCTTTAAATACTACCATCACTGATAAAAGTGGTGCTGTGAGCTACCTGTAAACTTTCTGAAGGAATTTGTGCAATATGATCATAGAAGTCAGACTAGAATGAGGAAGGGGGGGGGGGTGGGATTTAAAGAA